GGGATGGGAAAGGGATGGGAAAGGGATGGGAAAGGGATGGGAAAGGGATGGGAAGCGACCCCCAACTTGTTTTCCAGAGGGAAATGTTCCTCCCCATGGAATGGGAAGGAAAGGGGATGGAAAGGGGATGGGGAGGGGATGGAAAGGGCAGGAGAAGGGGATGGGAAGCGACCCCCAGGTTGCTTCCCAGAGGGAAATGTTCCTCCCCACGTCCCACTTTCACTGCCCAGGAGGCCCCCAGAAGCTCAGATTTCCCCCTCACCCCACCATGGACCACGGAAGTCTCACCTCCTCCCCAAAATTGATGATGTCCACGTTGACTTTCTCCTTCTTGAGGCGCTTTGCCAGCTTTACCAACTGCCAGGAGGAGACAGAGAGGGATCAGGGCTCTTATCCACAGGGATATCTGCTCCAGGCATGGAATTCCTGCCCCAGACCCCTCAGGGGAAGAGGTGCAGGGACCCAAAACCCACCCCAAAAACCGAGGTGGGGACTCACATCCTTCTCGTTGTCCTCCACGGGGCTCCCCACAAAGGCGATGATCCTCATCTTGTGGTTCTTGCCCTGCCGGTGCTTCAGGGCCAGCTGGGAGGGAGGGGAGGGCACAAGTCAAGGTGTTCCCAGGGGGAATTCCCAGGGAAAAGGGGCTCTGTGATCCCCTCGGGGTGCTGGGATTGGGGGGGTTCATGGGGTGACAGGCTGGGATAGACCCCCTGGGATCAGGGAATGCAAACACTGCCAGGGCAGGCAATCTGGGAGAGAATGCTAATTAGATGCTAATCAGCCAGCAGGACTCACGTGGGCCACTCTGATGCCGGTGCAGAAGGTGATCTTCCCTTTGGGCTGCACCGTGTGGAGCTTGGACAGGATCCGTCCCGTGTCCGGGGTGAGGGTGGTCAGCACCTCGCAGTTACTGGGGGACAGACCCCCTCAAAATCAGGGGCAGCAATCCCTGGGAAAACCCCTCGAAATCCCCTCCTGGCCAGTCCAACTCGTTCGGGCCAGCGCCAGTGCCCCCCACCCCACCCCACCCCACCCAGGACCCCCCCGTACTTGGCCAGGGTGATGAGCCCCACGTTGTTCTCGGGGTTGCTCCTGGTCTTGGAGTGGCACACGATGTTCACGGCGTCCTGCTGGGCCTGGAGCCTCGTGGGGAGGAAATCCCCGTTCCTCATGTACTCGCTGTTGTCCACGCTGGAACACGAGGGGGTGTGTGTGGGGGGGGTGAGTAGGGAAACAGGTGAGGTTTGTCCCAAAAATGTTGTTGTGGTGGTTTTTTTTTTTCCATCCCTAAAACGTGCCCTGCTTGGCCCCTCATT